TACATTATTTAAATTCAAATAAGCATGCTTAAATACATAAAATCCTTACACACCCAGAACAGTTAGCAAATTCAATGGTAAGGGCTGATGAGTTTCTAGGAATTCATACTATTTAAAAGTTGCAAAGCTCACACTAACCCCACTTTTGTCTTTCTGATTTCTTGGGGATTGAATCATAGTTCTCAACTTGGGGCTTGAAGGAACTATGAGATTCACCCTAGTCTCACAGAGGTTTATTTCCTCCCCCCTTGGCAGCAGAATGTCTGCTACTATAACAGAGGTTTCTGGCTTGCATTAATATTTCAAAGATGGCATTAAGAAACTTTTGTAAAATTCAGGTCTATTCTGGTGTGCTTAAATGGGAGTCTAATGTCTTGAAATTTTAAAAAATATCTATGCACAAATTTTTATTCCGCTTACACTCTACAGTGGTATAATGGTCTACTCACCATTTCAAAAGATTTGGAACTACATGAATCTTCTCCTCCCTCACTCTGTGTCCCATCTCTACCATATGCCTTTATCCCAACCTCCCACATGCTTTGTGTTCTCACTTCAAAGACTGGAGTATCAGGGTGGCACCTGTGGCTCAGTGAGTAGGGCACTGGCCCCATATACCAAGGGTGGTGGGTTCAAACAGGGCCCTAGCCAGGCGTTGTGGCAGGCACCTATAGGCCCAGCTACTTGGGAGGCTGAAGCAAGAGAATCACCTGAACCCAAAAGCTGGAGGTTGCTGTGAGCTGTGACGCCACAGCACTCTACTGAGGGCAACAAAATGAGACTCTGCTTCTTAAAAAAAAAAAAAAAGACTGGAGCATCTGATGTTTAGTTTATCATTGTTCCCTTACAAATTATATTTCTAGCCCTAATTTCTCACTATAATGCTTTGGTTTTATTATCTTGATTACTTTTTATATATACATAACCACGTATCCTCCTCTCATTTGAAATTTAACATGAACCATATTAATTGTTTCTCTCAAAAGCCTAGCTTTGCTAATGTCACAATTTTTTTTTTTTTTGGAGACAGAGTCTCACTATGTCACCCTTGGTAGAGTGATATGGCATCACAGTTTATAGCAACCAAACTCATGGGCTTATGCAATTCTCTTGCCTCAGCCTTCCAAGTAGCTGCGACTAAAGGTGTCTGCCACAATGCCTGGCTATTTTTTTGTTGTAGTTGTCATTGTTGTTTAGCAGGCCCAGGCCGGGCAATGCATGTGGCTGGCGCCCTATTCACTGAGCTACAGGCACCAACCCAAATGTCACAACTTGGGAGTCATCTTTGATCCAACCCTGTATCAAGTCTACCACAAGTCCAACTGCTTTTTCATTTTTTCCCCTGTATTTTAATACTAAATGATTTTTCATTTAAAATGCACTTACCTATTCTTCATTTCTACCTCCACAGCCTTCTACT